TTGATGTTAAAGTTGGCGCCGAATATTTTCATGTACGTACAAAACACGAGCATAATTCGCTCATTTGAATTATTCGCTCGAAAATCGTAGAAAAAAGAATGAAAATGAGACGCCATGGTGTCTTTTTGCCAATCTTAATTATTTCGCTCGCACCTGTTAAATTCATAATGCTAAATTATATCCATAATTTGAGTTAGTTTTAATTTCTATAGGTCGCCATTATTCTTATTTAATATGTTGTTAATTTAACTAAAATAATGAAGTTAAACGATTTAATTCAAGAAAATGTATTAAATTTGACTCAAATTTAATTCAAAATTTTTGTTTACTAAATACATATACGTTAATATAGACGTTATTTACTTTGAAACTGATTATAGAAATTAATTAAATTTTGACGCACATACACTGAGAGAAAAATGTACCAAATAATTATTTGAATATTATTAATATAACATTCACTTACGGAAAATAAATATTTGCTAAATAAAAAAATATAATAATAATTGAATCAAATTAATGATTGTACCAAATAAATGTGTAAATATTCAACTGGCATTATTCAAACAAATATTTATTAAAATTTAGTGCATTTTTCTCTCAGTGTAAAGGTTAAAAACAAAATATTATTTAACTCAAGGAATTGTTCCTCTGTTCATCTAATAGTATACAATAATTTCGTAAGAATAAAGATTATAAGAATTTTGTCAGTGGCGGAATATCGAAGGCTGGAGATCGTTCGTCGAAATTCCACATAATCACAGCGTCATCGCGCTCGCGAGATGTATTTTTTGTCCAACGTTTTTCAGTAACGACGATACAGCGAGCGGGGACGCGCAGAGCGATAGCGATAACAAATTGTATTGTACATACCTAATATTGTATATGTGAATGTAACTATGTATATACACATCATTATCCTCCATTAAAACCTCATTACGAAAAGCGTACGCAGAAACGCGCGTCTAACGAACATGATTCACCCATCGAAACCGTTCGGATTCAAATCGAACGGTTTGGCCCCAGTTCGTTCGAATGCAACTTCACGCTGCACTATTCTCGCGAGGTATAATCTGATGTAATCGCCACTGCGCTTCTGTCAAAAAGGGATAAACGATAAATATCAGGCTTTATCGACCTGATTCAACGTACATCAAATCAGAGGATCAATTATATATTTTGAAACGAAATGAAAATTACAAAAGTGAATGAATTTACTAGAATGTTCGTAATTAATCGTTTAACAACGAATTTAGTCATTTTTGTAATTTTCATTTAAAGATATATGTGTAATTGATTCCCTGCATTTTTATTAATAAGTTATAACACGATATTAAACTTTAACACGAAAGAACGGAAAATATGAGGTCAGTGCGAATAAAATTATGCAATAATTAATTAACTTAATATACTTCAGTTATTACAATTATTTGTATTATTCCAATTAATTAATTGTTGCATTATTTTGACGTAAAACCTTTCAATTATTAATTGTATTATTTTCACGTATCAATTACCGCGTTGAATTATTTACGGTTTTTTCTTTTACCATTTTTCTCGAGTTACTTTGACTCACCTCATTATTCGCTCGAATTCAAATCGATTGGATACGCCATGATCGTCGTCGTCCAGAAAATCGGAGAAACGATTCTACAATTAATCTCGTGCATTAAAAACGTATAGATATATATCGTCCGGACGCAACGATGCGATCAACAGTAGAATTCTGTAACTCATTATGTGTTCATAACAACAATCATTGCGCAGTATATTTTATATCCCTGATGAAAATAAAAATCGGAGCGTAAATCGGATATAATGGGAGAGTAACAGAAGCATTCATTCATTTTAACATTCATGAATCAATATTTCTAAAAATCTGAATCTATTTCAATTCATTTCAATCTATTCTCATTTACTGGGGAGTAACAGAAGCGTAAACGAAACTTCTGGAAGGCGAAAATTGAAACATCAAAATGTAAAAGAAGCGTAAGTGCAACATTTCATTGTTCCAATTTTCACCTTCTAGAAGTTTCGTTTACGCTTCTGTTACAAACGAGAATGGATTGAAATGAATTGAAATGGATTCAGATTTTCAGAAATATTGATTCACGAATGTGAAAATGAATGCTTTTCAATCCTGAATGCATTTTTATTCGTTTATAGGAATTGCATAGAGCATATCTCTATGCCTTTCAATTTAAAAATAATATTAGCTTTTTCTGTGCACACAAATACAATTGTGAATACTGTTCAATTCAAAATTTTAAATAGGAAATGCAGTTTTTCCATTCAATTGCATCCAATTGAATCTAATTGAATCCAATTAAATCCAAAAAAAAAGTATTCGCTATTTTTTTTTAAATACGCATTCAGATAAAAAAAAAATCAATCTATTTTAATCCATTTTTCTGGGTCTCCCATTACATTCGCGACTTACGCTCTGATTTTTATTTTCATCAGGGATAATAAAAAAAGCTGCACAACTGTCGTTATGAATTCGAAACATAACGACCATAATATGATATCTTTATATCATGATAACGACTGCATAATGAGTTACAACATACAGGAGTAGCCAAGCAGATGCTAAAGGCAATGATATAATACGCAGCAATGCACAACGGCCACGGGACGAATGAACGACGCGACGCGACGCAATTCAAACGACAGTTACCGAACGCGACCGTTTGAAACGTAGTTGGCTCGGCGGCCGAGTGGCGGCGCGCGCAGCGCGCAGCGGCGCAACGAACACCAACCGCCATGATGGGGAAACGAAAATGGCGTCGCGTGCACGGTGCCGATGATCCCTCGTTTCGCCGCGTTCGTGTTCGAGTAGTTGCGGTGTGTACGGACTACGGCGTCTGACAGAGCGTTTCAACGACAACGACGACGGACATTAATCGGTGTGTAGTGCGTATAATACGAGAATCGCTCGTTGAATAATCAGGTTCGCTTGGCGGTCGTGCCGCACGTACGAACGTTACTTACGGCGAACGGCGGTGGCGGCGGCAACGACGACGACGACGACGAGTGTCGCAGTGACGGTGATTAAATCGTGCAGACTTCGGTACCGGCGGACTCGCGATAATCCTGTTGTTTCCTTCTCGCCGCGAGAACCGACCTCGTTTCCGTTGGCATGACGAAGGACGCGATATCTCCGTTTTCCGCGGCGAGATAATGTGTGTTGACGTGCGCGAGTGAGAAGCACCTCTTCGCGTATCGTCCTTGTCCCGTCTTGTGATCGAGGGACAATCCGCGAGTGAGATCGTCTACAGGAGGCGGCGACGAGAACGACGTGCACAGTCACGACGACGGCGACGTGACGGAGCGACGTTCGACGTCTAGCATCTCCGCCCGACCATGGCGGTGAATCCGCGTGATATGGACGGCTTCATGCCGCTCCTGTCAACGACGGATATCAAGAAGAAGCTCAACGTCGGCACTGCGCTGCTCAATTTCCTCGGCGACTTGAGCAAGAGCATCGAGTGCCAGGACATCGGAATGTTCATCGACAATGTTATTCCCTGGCTTGGCAACGGCAATCCCAAGGTAAGCGTTCGGCGACGGCGACGGCGACGGCGACGATGTCGATGTCTAAGGTCGCCCGTAACGACGTCGAGTTATTCCGAGCGCACCTAACCTTCACCCGCGGCAATTTTCCGGCTACTTTCCGTGACTTTCATGTTATTTATAGATACTTGATTATGTTTGTCCTCCACTTTATTAAATGCTAAAATTAAAACGGAGACGGAGAAACTTGATTTTTTTCTCCTCTCAAAGTGATGCACGAGTAGCTGTTTTCATAGAATGTTGATAAACGTTGATAAACGTTATTGATAAAAGGATAAGACTGGATATATTTTGTAAAAAAATTATTTATCGTTATTAAGTGTTATTTATCGCTTTAAAGATGACGTCAAGAATGACTTTTTGTAACATTCATTATATTTTAGGAATTGTTGTCATCTGCATTAAAACTGAGCTGCTCTTTACGCGCTGTTCTCTGTTTAAAAGTGAATTATAATTGAGGAAAGAATGGAATAATATGAATTCAAATTAACTCACCTTTAACCTTGCATAACCAGAGTTTTTTGCTTGCTGAAACAAGATTACACAACTGGTAAGCGAGGAACATTGATTAAATCATTGGCTGTGTCAGCAGAAAAAGGAATTTTGCAGCTGTTGTAACAGTCTTTAATATAATTGATTTATGCCCTTATTTCCTCAGGGATCTAGATATATGAACAAATTATATTAAAGAATCTTACAACAGTTATAAAACTTTTTTCTGCTGAACGCAGTCATTAAAACTTAAAGGGTGCATTCGTTTACACAGCGGTTAGCGCAGAGAGTATCATTTAATTCTTGTTTAACACTTGGTGAACAACAAGAATAAAGTAATACTTCTGCACTAATCGCTGCGTAAACGAATGCAGGGGAAGAATATAAATATATGAGTATGTTCTATAATGTAACTTAACCCGTAACTGGAGCATATGGGTTTGGTGACTTTAGAACATTTTTAAATAGTAATTTTTAAGTAGTACAATAATTTGGAATAATTTTATGAATACTTTTAAAGCTTGATTTTGTAAAGTAATAATATGATACTGAAAGCAATATAAGATAATTAATAGGTGTGAGTTGAAAAGTAATAATAAAATATATTGGTGTTATTAAATATTATAGGGGCTGTTTTGAGCTCACAGACTTCTTCAGTCAAAAGAATTAAATAAATACGTAAATAAAGATCAATTAAAAGAGGATCATAATTGATAAAAAATTAAAATCTAACAATGGAGTAAAAATGCTCGTATATTTTCTTAAAAATTGACACAATGTCATAGCTTATTTTGAACTTTAATTAAATAAACTTTGAATTAATATTATATTAAGAGTGTGTTAATTTTAATATTAATTTTAATATTAATATAATTAACAGTATGTTAATTATATTAATTGACATTGTGTTAAAAAATCTAACAAGTTATTAAAACAAACTAATGTCATAAAAACACTGTCCAAACAAATGTATACATCATTAATTAAACATTAGTTAATTAAATAAATTTTATTCAATAAAAGAAAAAATAAGAACAAAAACAAATAAGTATAAAAACAAATAAGTATATCAGACATATAAAATGTAAAATACGTTGCATATTATTTTGTTGGAAAATATAGTTAGCTCCTCAAACTGAGACAGAAGAAAGAATCTTATCCAGGATAATTAAAATGTCAAAATCATTAGAAAATCTTTTCAGATCAAAAAAACAATAAAAAAATGGCATTTTGAACAGATGACACACATATTTCCCGAACAATATTCAATCGTTATTATTGTCGCAGACCAGTCTACGAGAATTTACTTACAACTACCGAATATAATCCGGCAAATGTGTAGGTATATCATCTTTCTCAATATGTCATTCTTCTGACCTGAGAGCTTAAGATCTTCGTTTCTGATTTTAACATTTTGACTGTCCCAGACAAGATTCTTTCTCAGTATAATAATAAGGTCTGTTCTTTTTTTTTTATCGATAAACTCTCAGAACTGGTATACAGTGCAGTAAGTTGAAGTGAAGAGCCTTAGTGTTAGTCACAAATATGTGTTCTTGTTACGAATTAAATCACATGATGGTACAAAGGGTTAACACTCAATCGAAGTCAACCACATTTGATTCGCGGCCGTGAGGTCTCCTAGTCAAGCACATGACGCGAGCGGTCCATAAATGGAGAAAGGAGACGATTGATCAGTCGCCATCGCCTGCCTTCGGCGCGCTCCGTAAAACACCGCTTTTTCGCGCTCGCACGTGAGAACGTTACCGCCCCTGTTCTCACCTGTGCGTCGCGAAATGGGAACAACCGATTTAGCATCTGTATGGCATGGAGTAACGCGCCGGAGTAAGTAGTCCGATGAAAGTGCCATTTGTCATAATTTACTGCCGTTTCCTTGGCGCTGTGAATGACTAGCATTCGTTCAATTTTTTTCTCCTTATTTTCTCCGATAAGTTCAAGTGACCCTCCGGAAAAATAATACATCTCTTTATGGTTTCGTTTTGTGACTTTCGGAACTTGTGTTTACCTTTTCTATCTTAGATATCTTGCGAATATTTTATTTGCTGGTTAACTTGGGCTTAGTCTGACGATAAAGTAAAAACTGTATTTTTCTACGGTTAATTAAGTCGATGATTTTGTAGTGAATAACTTTTAAGCTTTCACAATAGTCTATTCTTTTTCTGTATCTGGACTGAACTTCTTTGCACGGTTCATTTTCTTATTCTTTTCATGTTGGCGAGAAAAAGAGAAATGATAGACCGTGCAAGAAATTCAGTCCTGAAGTATGGAAAAAGAACAGGCCTTATGTAGAGTTACCTAAAAAATAAATGTTACCAAGAAATGCATGAATGAATTTCATTGATGAACCTTTAATTTTTAGATATAATCATATATATTGTGAAAATGAGCCTTAAAATTTAAACCACAACGAAACCATTAATGTAGTGATTAATCATAACTAGAAACACACAATTTTTATATTATCAAGTTAATATTTATCAAGTTCTTAGTATATACAATTTTTCAATTCTTTACTATACATGATAGGTTATTTGTGTTTTTAACAAATGTACAAAAATTAAGTGATTCTTACATATACTTAAAAATATTTTTTTTAAATATTTGTAAGGTTATTCGTTAAAAAAAATTCTATATAAATATTATAACTGATTACTTGATGCTTTTAGTTTTTCGAAGAAAAGAAATGTGCAGGACATAATGACCCAATCATGTGTGCTAAGGGTTAAGTGAGATTACATCTAAACTACGAATTAATCAGATAATGAAAAATCGAAGATGAAAGCACAAGTCATTTCGCGCAAGCTGCAATATTGATCGTTGCCAAGTATTTACTGTGAATGACAAATATATTAGACGAAGATGCGAGACGAAGATCAGAGTAGCTATGATGCTGTTTAAGAGGATTTAAAGGGCCGTGATTGGTGCTTTAAATGCCATGAGTTTAGTAAAGAATATACAGCTGTTTATTGTAAAGATTCAATTATCTTACTCTGTACATGCAAAAGATCAATGTCGCGTCATCACATTTAAGACTCAATGCTAATAAACATTGTAAATTATAACGTCGTGCACGATGTAAACATTCGAAAGCATCAAAGCAGCAGCGTAATGTGTCGATCATTTATTTATTATCGAGAACATATCTTCCGTTTTATTACGGTCGGTACTCCGCAACACGATGAAAATCTGAGCAATGAAACTCGACACGTGCATGGTAAATGAATAGTGTAATGTAGAAAGCAGTTAATTAACTCATAACAGGAACATATGAGTTCTTGGAACTTAAAGCTTTTGTTATTAGTTTTCTTTAAGAATTTTTCAAGTTTAATTATAGTGTATTCTTAATCTATAATCTGATATAACGCTGTTTAAGAAATATAAATAAAAATTTAATTTAATTTAATTTAAAAAATAACACAATTAAATTAAATGAAATATTATTGATAGAATTTGTTGATTCTAAATCTTGTTCGATAAATATGTTGAATTTTTTTCTAGAAAACTTCTTTTTTTAATTCTTTTTTTAAATTGTTATCAAAACCCATATGTTTCAATTATGGATTAATGTGTGTCTAACACGTTGAGCTTTCCTTGTATTATATATTGCGCAAGAAACGCAAGCAACACATACTTTCGTAAAGATTCTGTAGGGAAGCAGGATGTTTATACATTGACACAGCTTTTAATCTTTATTTCCTGCGAATGTGGATATGTCGATTTCGACCGCATTCATCCGATGCACAATGCACTATTGAACACAAGAATTGGAGAATAAAATATGTACGTAATGAGACAATATCTATACAAGGACTGAAGTGAAACTAGAATAAACATTCATGCATTTAATTAATTAGACGAACAAGATGAGAGATATAAACGTGAAAGTATCATTTATGTCATCGTAATATATGGAGATAGTTGAATGCGTTACTGAATTGTACTTCTATATTTGTTCCTCATATCTTTTTTTATGGATGTTGTCTTCCCCTCTTCATAACTGTTACATTACATTAGATCTCATTCTCGATCCTAATTTTGTATGATCGCCAGCCAGGGTGTGTCGAGTGACAAACTTATTACTTTATGTGCGTGTGTGCGTGCCAGGGGTTCTCAATGTGACTTCCAGTTTTTATACAATGTATATAACCTTTAGAGGGAGTCTAAAATCGTCTGTTTTACCGATTCAAGATCTATACATATGTCATTGATACACATTGCTGTACATTATTACTTCAACATCACACGCATATACAAATTTTTCAACTATCTGATCTTTAATATTATATGCTGAAAAAGATGGTCTGATTGGATTAAACAATAATTGATAGAAAAATGGAGGAATCAGAATTTTCTGGTTAAAACTAGAATTTGAGTTAAGATAGCTAGAGTTCTGATTGATATAATTATTCTGGTAAAAATAAGAATTTTAGTAAATTTTACAGAAATGTGTATATCAACCAGAATTCCAG